TCTTTAATAAAGCATATTGATTAACTACTAAGGAGAATTAGGCTGGAAATACTGTGAGATAGTTTGCCAGATGCTAACATTTATTTCCTTATTTAGTGTTGACTACGAAGGAAATTTATTTACTCTGTTAGTGACCTTGTAACTGTTAAGTGAGTATTTTATGTGATGCTCTAATTATAATACACACACTTTTAAGAACAGGAAGCAGTAAACATGATGGGGGTTAAGACCATTCTACTCTGAAGCCACTTGCAAAAATCCAGTCTGAACACAAGCTTGGGAACTAAGCCTGCTAAGCTGAAAAGGTATTCCCAAAGTAAATAGAGATTGACCTCTGCCCACCATGTTTTCTTTAAGAATCAAGCACTACAAATCCAGATTTGGTATGAAGAATATCAGCCAGCAAATGTCTGCTACTTCCTACTCATAAGGCCAAATTTAAAAACTATTTCCAAGTTACTTTTGAATACGAACATAAAAAGGATCTAACTGAAGACACAAGCATGGTTCTCACTCAGTGTGGCATTTACACTAAAGAACAAAAAATAACTCCTCTGCTTTTTTTATAAGCATCATCATCAAACAAAATCAAAGTGCAAAATACTGGGATTTCCTCACTCTTATTTTAACCAACTTTGCAATAACAGTCAAAAGAGAAGGAAAATTCTTCTCTATTAGAGGTAAATAAGAAGATTTAGAAGACTAACTTGGAAAGGATGCCAGCAGTGTTTGGACTGTTTGGCTGTTGGTATTTCTTAATATGAAATAAAACACATAATTTTCATCTACTCTGTATTATCCTACTAAATCAGACTACCATTTTCCAAAAAGTACTGAAGAGGAAACAATTTATTCTCTTATGGCTGAAGAATCAGAGGCTGTGTGTACATTTTACGATAGCATCTTAGTCTCCTTATGATTGTCTTTCAAAACTCTGCTTAAAGCTCTCCTTTACTGGTATGCTGTGACAACAAATGAAAAAGCTCTGATAATAGGCTGCAGATCCACTCATATTGCTAATGCAAGTCAAACATTATTTTCTGGCATTCAATAATTTCTAGTAACAATAATGCAACTTTTTTGGTTTTGTTTTTTTTGCTATCCTACTGGTGAAACCTTAACTGTGTTAGGTATACTACAGCCAAGGGACCTCAAGTAAAATTAGTTTCTTCCTCATGTTTGCTGCTGTGCAAACACATGATGCTCCATTCATTCCCAAGAGTTTATTTTATATAGGAATTATATGCAGTTACGGATGAATCATTTAAAAAGGCAAATTCATCTTCCATTTAGTGCAAGTGGTATAAGTATGATTTACTCTGCTTCAGAACATTTTTTTTTCTGAAACAGATTGTGGTGAGAATAATCTATCACTGCCCTGTACCAAGTTCCTTACAGTGCAAAAAATTACAGTGCCTGCCCTCTGAAAAGCTCTTTATTGGGATGAATAACTGGGGCTGGGGGCACCGTTGCAATCTTAATTCTGTCACAGAGGGAAGACCTGAAATGCAGGAGCTGGACATATACCTCTTTCCACATCACAAAGCTATCAGTTTGACATCATTGTCTTTCAAACACTGGCAGCTGAGACCTACCACTGCCACATGCAATTTATGCATGAGGTTTTCAAAATTAGCATGCATCACTAAAGACATCAGTGAAATTTCTGCTTCTTAGTGGACCGGATATTTTTTGAAAAATAAACCCAGTTTAGTTATCCTGGGTTTTCCAGACAGCAAATTTGCAATCAAATGTCTTATTATGTTAAAGGTCTAGCATGTAGCACAACATCAGTGTTACAGAAATTCTGGACAAGTTGATATTTCTGAGATGTTATGACTTTTTGCCTTTTTAGAATATATTTTAGTGTTAATTTACTTAGCATTTGAGACAGACTTCCTACACACTTTCAGTTCTTGGACAGCTAGAGATAGCATTGCAAATACCTTTGAAACCTCCTCCCTAACCTGTACTGACTTCCTAGAAAAGGAAATGTGATATCAAGGGGAAAAAAAGGGGGTGGAGGAGGCTCAAAAGGATTTCCAGTACTTTAAAACAGGAAATGTATGAATAGAAATTATTCTTGGTTTCAATGTTTACAGCTTTACACATGAAAACTGCTGGACAACAGCCTTATCTCATTTTACCATATTTAGGGTAGTGATGCCTGTACAAAAACACACTTTCTGCGGCCAGTAAAAAGAAAATGGGGAGGATAGGAGATGTTCCTTACTTTGAAGTGAGTTTCTAGTAATTCATTACTTTCAGAGAAAAAAAAAGTGGAATGTATTTCCTTTCTTATAATATTCCAAGGTAGAGACATAAAGAAATCATAAGTGTTAAACATTAGAATGTGGAGAGACTGGCAGAAGGTCATTATTTGGAACCACTGAGTTAAGAATTATGTTTGCACTTAATTATACCTTATTTCATAAAATTCTCAAAAATAGAAAGACCTCCAAATCTTCTAGAGCTATCTTGATCGTATTTATGAAATGCATCAATACGAAGTTATTCACTTCCATCATGGCTGCTAGCAAGACGTAATGCTGTTCAGTGGGAGGTTCAAAGCATCTGCTGTGAAAAGCACAGGAGCTGATAAGAGGTGACAATTTATACTCCCATTGATTTTGTATAAATCAAAAAAGAAAAAGAAAGAAACATTTTCACTCGAGATGGCAGGAGGATGAAAAATAGAATCTATATATTACCGTTACTGTTTCTGAAACACTACAATTAGCAAAATTGGTCTGGATAACCTGGAACTATCCCGTGGATATCAATTAAACACACAGTAGATAGATCATACTAAATGAAAGCAAAAAAACCCCAGAAACTATGAAAGAGAACTATCATGTCTTACTAGCACTGGTCAATATTTTTCAAGTGCAAAGTGCAAAACTTAAGGAGATCCATGATTTCATAAACATCCCTACACTTCCCTATCATGCAACCAAGCACCTCCAAAAATTAAAAACTGAAAATATTTTTAAATTTGCCTTCTGAATTGCAAATTTTCTTGAAACTCTAAATACATTCTAAAAGTTGTCATAACCCAACAAGGGAACACGACACCTTGAAATGACAAGATCACAGGTATGGTCACAGAAACTAAGCAGCATCCCCTTTCACAGCAATAAGGAAAAATACATATGATTTGTGAGCTCTTAACGTTCTTGTGCCACTGTCTGTGATGACAGCTGGGTACCACTAAAGGGAAAAAAGGCTGAACACATGGCATTTTAAATGGAGGTGGGGGGTAAGTAGTGTTAGCTGTTGTAATCACACTATTAATCACACCATTTTGAGTGGCTATTGGTCATTCAACTGCTTATCATATGAACAATGAGGACACAGTTTATCAATAACAAATTCTTTCAATATAGAAAAATTATTCACTTTTTTCTCTGTTGTTTTTTACCTCTTTAATAAGAATTTAAGGATTTTGAATTGTACACTGTTTCTTCAGGCAACACCATTTGATAACAATGACGTATTTTGATTCCTTCGTCAAACAGTTCGATTTACTTGTTTTAAGAAGCAAAAGAATGCATTTCAGAATTTTTTTAAAAGCATGTCTTCAATTTCTAATGTAAAGCACTCTAAACAATTTGAATCATACAGTAAAAGTATTGATTTTGCCTTCAGGAAAAAAACCCACACCAAACCAAACCAAAACAGAAAAACTGACCTGTCCTGTGCTTCCTATTCTATCTATCATTTACAAATAATAAAATTCAACTAAAGAAACTGCTGTAATCAGATACTAATCTATTTATCTATAAGCAGAAGTGTGTATACACATGGAGCACATACATTCTCTTTTAATGTTCTCATGACTATATACTGTGCTTCTAGATCAAGTCAAGACCATAAACAATTCAAAGCTGCATTCTGTCTAAATGGGTCACTTATAATGAGAAAGCACGACATTTACATGTAGGAAGCAGATTGATCAGGGAGCAGAAAAATAGAATATGGCATCAGTGCAGAAAAATAAGCCTTTACAGGCAATTTATGCTAAATTATTTGGCAACTTCCTATATCCTCCTCAAAAATGGAAGTGAATTCCAAAAATGTAGAATGAAAATAATAAAAATTTAGCATAGCAAATATTCACCAGGATTAACCTTTGTGCTTGCAGTAAAGAAAAATGAAAAAAGCCTTGGTTCCTTTCACTACTGTTACGTCGCTTGTACAGAATAACACTTAAGTGAAAAGACTGAAAACACTGTGTCTCCCAAAAATCCACACATTAATTAATTGCCTACAATCACTTTAAATTGGACCTTTAAGTGCTAACATATCCCACAACATTCAGTTGTTTTCAACCAGAAGCTGTGCAACAGAAATGCTCTGAACATGCTGTGTACATCTTGCTAAAGCAATTTCAGCTGCAGCCTGCAAAATTAATTTCTGCAAAATGCAAATCTGTGCCATACAAATATTAGAACGATAGCAAGTCTGCTGCAACACATTACAAAACCAAAGTGGCAGAAAGGCAGAGGGAAATTTCAATACTGCCTAATATGCACAAAATATACCCCATGTCTTTGTTCAGTCTGGATTCTCATTCAAGGTGTAAATACTGGATACATTGTTAGATATCCCACTGCAACCAGCTCCAAATATTGTGTGAGTAGCTCTCTCATAGTTCACACTAGACTCCCTTGACCCAGCTAGACAAGCGTGAAAACGTGAAATAAATGAACATTAACAAAGACTAGTCTGGAAAGCAGGCTGCATTAAATGCTCGCATTATATGTATAGATGCAAAATTTGCTACCTAGAGTCTTTTTATACTAGATATCAGCTTGCAGTCAGTATATTAATGCTATGTGCTACTGCAGAGAGAAAAATGAAGTAAATGATATGAAAATCATGTCTTTCCCCATCTGCCACATACAGATATTCCCCACCTTACATCATGCTGCTAAGGCAAATAAGAAACAGCAAAATAATTATCTCCATGCAAAGAAAAAGCAATTTTAACACAATACCTTTCTGTGTTTGTCCCTCTTCCATATTCTCTTCCATGGCTACCTTTCTTCACTAGAAACAGCTACAGAGAATTAATCAAAAGCTTCAGTCAGATGTAGGAAAAAGTGTGGATTTTTTTTTCCCTGGGAAGCTCCAACAGCAGAGGCTTAGGCAAGTCCTCAGAGCTTAGCTAAGGCTCCCTCACTCTCCTTGTTTGCTTGGAGACAGGCTGTCAAGTGTAATTTCATTCAAATTACTCTTCCGTGAAGATTATCAATTTTTCTTCTCAAAGCTGCCCATTGTGTACCACTGTAAGCAGGTATTCAAATGAACAGCCTGTGAATTTTGGGGGGAAATTTGGTCCGAGCCCTTATGGCAATGACACCGATTCATAAGCCTCACTTTGCATATAAAATGGAGTAAAGAAATTGAGGTTTGTATTGAAATCTGTGTTTAAATTGAAAACAGGCTGTACTGAAAACAGATGGAGGAGTGTCTTCCTAAGGGGAAGCAGACCACCAACCCATAATTCCCCCTATTTGCTACTGAAGTGGGAAAGCCCAAATGCCTGTGGGTTCTTTATGCTGTATTACTTGTCTTTCTCTCTCTCTCTCTCTCTCTCCCCCCGCCTCTCCCCCTCCTCCCGTATCAGCACATTTAAGAATAATATGACTCTTCACTTCCCTTCTTCTCATATATCTGTATCATCAGGAGTTAACAACAAATTTAATCTATTGCCCTTACAGTATTCTAAAAATTATCTTTATAGCAATACAATTTTATGTGTATGTATATGTGTTTACACACACAAGCACAATTTAACACACGACATTAATCTGCAAATTTTATGCACTGTACACATTCTCATTGTCACAGTAAACAGGAATTTAGAGGCAGTTCAGAGGTTTAAAACAGTTTTTGCATCAATTCTTTTTCTGATTCCTCATATCTCAAATTGGCTTTCTTCAAAGCTCTTTTAAAATAGCCGGATCTTAAAATGGTGAAGCACTACATGTGGGTATGTACACGAGGAAGCACATACAAACACACACACTGCTAGGAGTTTGCTCTGGAAAAACCTAGGTTAAATACACTGTTAGGGCACCTAATAATTTGGGGAGCTCTGCAGACTGATTTGGAATGCAAATTGGATGCTGCAGTCTAGCAATAAATTAGCATTTTGGTACCTTAGTCTACAGAGTAATATATCATCATTTTAAGACTTCCATTATTTCACTAAAAGTGCAAACTGACACACAATTCCAATTTTTCTCTGAAGGTTTAACTTCTCATCCTTCTGGGGGAAGTGACTAAAACTTAAACAAAAATAAAAACTACAACTATTATGGCTGAAAATTCCTATTAATATATAAATGATAAATAGCTCATCCATTTATTTTATGCTAGCTAAACACATTGAGTTCTGCCTTCTAAGCCACAAAAATAAAGTTGCTTGCTTTGGCTGGTTGGGTTTTGTTTGGGGTTTTGTTTAGGGAGGGGCTTTGGGGGGGGCTATTGTTGGGGTTTTGGGGTTTTTTTACCATTTGCATATAAAACTGTTCAAATCTGGCTCACATCAGAATAATTATCATGTATGAAATTAAATATATATATATATAATTAAATAACTGAATCATTATTTATAACTCAACACATTTCCCATCTTTTTTTCTCCCTTTTAATTCGTGTTTCTAAGGCTCCATTTTCTGGAATAACTAAAAAAAAATTATCAGTTGTTTTAGTTCTCAGATTTAATAGATCATTTAAAAATCAACACACTAAGAAGGCCTATACATATGAAAGTGCTGCAAACAACATAGGATCTAAGTGTCTTCCATCTTTCTAGGAATTATTCTTTTAGACAGTTTTTTAAGAGAGGCATATTTCCTTTGAAACAGATATCCTGTATAAGTCTCCTCTGCTATTCTTTCTCTTCAAAACCTTTTCTTACATAAGCATTTAACAAATCTTCATATTCCAAAGAGGATCTGGCAAATATTTTACTTGGCAAATTGCTTCTAAGTTGTGTTTCTCAATAGCACCAAATGTTTGAGATTACCAACATCTTTAACATCAATGTTGGCAACAATGGAATATATAGGTCATTGATGAAATCAAACTACCTTTTTCCTTGAAACAAGGATACAAACTTTTTTCAAATATAACAGGAAACAAAATGAAAAGAGTTTGGAAAGAGATAACTGGGAGAAGACACAATAAAGATGGCACAATCTTGAGGGACATAAAAAGGTCAAGAAAACATAACTTGTTCAATAAAACAGACAGGACTGCAAAGAAAGTAGGCTGAGAATTAAAGAAAGGCATATTATACAAAGTGTATTTAAGTTGTGGAAACTTGTTTTAGCAGGCTGTTGTAGAGGAGGGAAGAACCCAACAAAATAACAAGAAGAAAATCTGAGCCACAAGGATTCATGGAGATGAGATCCCTGAGCTGCAAAGTACTGGGGAGTAGAGGAATATTTTGTGAAGAACTCTTAGCCATTTCTTATGCTACTTCCAAGGCAGACTGCTTTTGGCACAAATATATGAGATGTTGAGCTGAATTAATCCTTTATCTACTACCCACTATGGTCATTTTCACATCAGGTTCACATACACCTTAATTTTAATTACAGGATTTTTAACTTTCTAAAAAGCCTACTACACTCACATGCCAAAGGTTAAGATGAAATGACTGTGTCTGCTGAAGCAAAGCATAGCATTGACAAAAAATGGCCTTAAGTTTTACCCCCTACAATAATCTATTCTTCTTTGTAAATATTGTTATGAAGATACTGAAAGATCCTCCTGTTAAACAGTAACTCCTCCAAATAATGTAAGTGCCAAAGTTCATTTTTCAGACAACCCTGCTTAGTTTCAGGTGCTATAAACTGGTCATCCACACAGCTTGTATGAGACTGAGCAACAGAGAAAATGTGAAAGAGATTTCATGTAAACTTGTTTCATATTTAACTCCACTTTTTTAAAACGGTTGAAACATAAATCTGCCTCCTTGATGTTTCTTTAGATCTGCTCCAAGGACCTTTGAAGATTAAATTATGAATAGATGTTAATCCTAAAGCCAAAGAACAGAAAAGCTCTGCAATTCTTACAAAGAATAACAAACCGATGCAGAAAATGCCAACTGTATGTGACTTTCTAAGCAGCAACCACAGAGGCTTTCTTTCTTTGGTATACTGGGAAAGACATTTACCACCAATGAGACATAAACTACTTTAAACCGTACAGAGAAACTACAAAAGCTTCTGTTTCTGGAAGCACTTCTAGCACAGAAAAGAGCTATGTTAGTGGGAACTACATTCGACTGCCTAAAGTTCCCCTTTAATGTGAAATGAGATTATTGGTGCAAGTGATCATTGGACAACCATACCAATTGTAAATGGCAAGGCAAGACAGAACATCCAACTGTATAATGAGACTAAATAAACAGTTAATCAAGAGAATAATTGGAAGCTGATGACATTAAGGGATCCCCTGGTGTCCATTATGATATTATGAAATGTAGCTGAGCACTTACAGCTTTAAACAGCATGACAAACACCTGACTTTTACTCCCAGTTTTGTATGGCCTTCAAAGCAGTTTACCATTCTATCCTTCAGCCCTATCGATTTTCAACTGCATAATAACGATAATGTTGTGGTGCAGTGATGTCTTGATCATGACAACATAATAAACTTGATTATGAATACGTAATTTAAAAGCGCAAAATTATTTATGTTGCTAATACTACTACCTCAATAACCAAGCAACCAAATAAAAATCAAAAAGTCAGGTCCTGCAGACAGGCTTCCCTTCAGGAGTTGGAGTGGTGTACAGTTCACTCCTGGAAAGCGTGTTCTGGTTTCATTATACGAAAAAATACAATGCATTTATAAAAACATTTATGAAAACATAAATTATAAAAACAATTTAGGTTCTTAGAGAATATTCTATGATGCAAATCAAAATACAGCAGGTGAGGAAAAGTGGGACATACATTTTTAAAATTCACTCCTCCTAAACTCACTCCTAAATTCACCTAAACACTAAAATAAATGCACGGGTAGTAATTATTCTATGCAAATTAGGCAGCAGATTATAGAAATCTGGAAAACACACACAGAAAAATTAAAACTGGTGCTCCAATTTTCTATTTAGAGTGCTTCACAATTTATATTTTGTATTTAAAATAGAAATGTAACTATAAAATAATGGCATATCATATTTCATCTTTGGAATATCCCAACAGAGGGATCTTGAAGGAACTATTGGGAAGCTTTAAGACTTCCAAAATGTCTCTAAATCTCTGCTCTGGGATGTCTATTTCATATCTACATCTTCACGAGATACTTACAGAATAATAAACCAAGAGCACATGGCCCTGAGTTTAACTCATAGCAGACACACAAGTGTCCAGGGAAAGGAGAAATGTTTAATGACATGAAAATTATCAGAATTAGTGGGGAAATGAAATGTTAAAAGAGGAAGGAAGAAAGTAGAACGCAAAATCTAACATTAGCAGAATATTGCTTCTTACCCCATTGATAGGATTTGTATAGTGCTACTAATTCCCAATAGTTTTTTTTTCTGAGGAAATTATATTCTTCTAGAGGAACAAACTACCAGCTTAAAACAAGCAGCTGTCAAGAGATAGCAGGATGGTCACACAGCCTAAAGAAATTTCAGTACAGGGCTTCACCTGATAGAAAAGGTCTCTTATTATTTTTTGTGCTCAAGTCTGCTCAAGTTACATTTGACAGAAGAATAATGGACATCCTTTCCTCGATGATCTTAATTTATTCTAATTTCTTTCTGCATTCCTCTATATTCTAACATGTCTAGAAACAGAAATTTTATTGAAGAGGAGAGTGAGAAGACAACCTCCTTGCATTCTGCTTCACACTAATAAACACGAACATCATTATCGTATTCAGAAAATTAACCTCTTTGTGAAAGCCTCATCTGGTTAAAAAGATTCCTTCACTGAGAAGATCTTTCACCACTTCATATGATATTCAGACTTAAAACACAAGAGATAAGAAGTAACTTGCTCATATCAGTATTCAAATATATATTTCATATATGCTATATCGATCAAGAGGAGAGAGATAATAAAAAATGATTAACAGTATCTCTGATTCAGAATAACAGTCTTAATATACTTCCAGACTATTATCTGGAGCTATTGTAAGTATCATCTGTAATTTAAAACCTTCAGTCTGACTGGTTATGTTTCATGACTCTTACTGGGTTTTTTGAAAATAAGTAACATTTTCCAGAGTAAAATTAGTTAACACTATCAACATAATTCCCCTAAAATTCTGAAGATTTTCAAGCATTTTGATACCTAAGACTAAGAAAATTATGTTTTTTATATTTTGAGATAAAAACTAGTTGTACATATTCCCAAAGGATACTGCTGCTCATTCAGCAAGGTTTAACTCTGAAAAAAATGCTTCTGTTTGATGGATTAATGAAGAACTGAACATGAATGCCAGTATAATTGAGGGAGGTGCCAAATAATACATTTCTACATATGAGTATCTAAATATTATGGC